CTAGGATTGTGTATTCCTTCTCCTCCACACCTTTTGTGCTGAAACCCTAGCCTATAAATACATATTTTCTGACCCTATTTTCGCACCACACAATAGAGAAATCAGAGAGAAAAACATACATGAGTGCCGCAAGTTTCTGAAGGTGTTTGGAGGCTTGTGATGTGCTTACAAGGAGAAGGAGAGCCTTTGTGCCGTGCCTAGTAGCCAAGGATTGTGCCAAATCTGCCATGGGAGTGCTGGAGCGTTTTTGGGCTCTTTCTATCCTTAGTTTTTGTCCAATGTTTATTTTAATTTGGTTTTCAATTATGATGAACATGACAAACTAAACTCGTTTTGGCTAGAGGCAAATTCAAAGCCATGAACATATATGTGATATGAATTGATTACATTCAGTTATGATTTCACCTAGTCGTTATGAGCTTATATTCACAAGTAGTAAAAGTCACTAGTCATGATTGTGTTAAGTGAATTCTTGGCAGGAGTATCATGCTGTTCATAGTTACGAATGGCTTGTCAATGCTTATGATTTTCATAGAACTTAATGATCTTTGATATGTATTTCTATCCTGCTGTTCGTGTAGGGAACTTGATAAGAATAATTTGGTCGCGTTGGTCGACAACATATGAGTTAATTTGGCTCAAAGAACTTGGGATTCTCTATTTCTACTCCAATGTCACTCATGTGCGACAATCAAGTAGCCATGCATACCGCTGCTAATCCAGTGTTCCATGAAAGGACCAAACACATTGAGGTGGACTGTCACTACATTAGGGCACAAGTTCAATCCCAAGTTATTCAAACCATCTATACTCGCAGTCATGATCAACTGGCGGATGTGTTCACGAAAGCACTTCCTTAAGTTTCTTTTCAGTGTCTCCTTGACAAGCTTGGCTCGATCTAGCTTGAGGGGGAGTATTGGATGATATGGGGTGACTGATACCCATGCTACCAGTTTTTCAATTTCCTCTTGTCACGGGATTCATTATCAAGCTTAATCCCTTAATTTGAGGAAGATTTACAGCTAGATGACTTGTTGATAGTTATGTGCTAGATGCTTGCTGCACTCCCTTAATTTAAGGAGTGACAACTTTAGGGTTTACTGGGTTTACTCGGTTAGTAGAGTTTGTCAAGGGAAGGTTGCTTGTAACCATCTCCCTCACTTTATATATACTCTCTTGTACATTCATTCAACCTATGAAACATACATTTAATTCAACCTAAATTTCCACGTCAATGCATGGGAATTATGTTAGTTTCTTGTTGTTCTCTGTGTAATTCTGCTTTAGAATCTATTTCGCATCTCTGTTTGGAATACCCTTGGACGGTAGCTTTATGGAAATAGTTGTTGGCTCTTCCGGCATCCTCCGGATATGGTCGAGTCATTCTTACATGTTTTTTTTTAGACTTTTATTGCTGGTTTTTCAAGTTCTACTGGAAAGCTTTGGGTTTTAGCGGTTTGCACTTTTATTTGGGGAATTTGGTCACTCCGTAATCAGATTCGGTATGAAAGCTGCCCTTTTAGATTTCACTAAGTGTTGGCTACTAACTTGATTTAGGTGAAGCAACTCTTATGTGTTTCGTTTGTAGTAGTAGTCCACCATCAACTGTGCCTCCTATTTACTCATCTTTGGGCATCTACCTAATTTTCGCCATTGCCTCCTCATTCATTCCTGTGATTTGGTGCCTATCGCAATGGATGGGTTAAGGTGAATATAGATAGTTCTTTTGCAAATAGTCGTGCTGGTTTTTGGTGGGATTTTTCGTAATTCAGATAGACACATGTGCTTGATTCTTTATCCTCAAATACGGAGTTTGTTAGTTTAGTGGCTCCAGAAGTATTAGTTTTGATTAAGGTGGTTTGTGTTACTTGGATTCGAGATTGGAAGCATATTTGGATTGAAACTAATTTCATATTAGTTATTAATTCCCCTAAATCAGTTCCTTGGTTTCTCTTGGTTGATTGGAACAATTGTTTATGGCGCCTTTATCAGATGAGTTTTTTTTTGTACACACATTTATCGAGAGGGTAGTTAAGTTGTTGATGCCTTAACTTTTTTTGGCGCGGCTGGTAGTGCTTATTATTGTTGGTCTACTGTTCTAGATTTTATAGTTGCCGCCCATGCTAGTGACCCGGAGTTCGCCCTAACTTCGTTGATGTTTCTTTGTTTTTTTCTTAGCGAGTTTTGGCATTGTCCCCTGCTTGTATTCTTTTGTTTTCACTTTTCTTTTTTTAATAAATACTGAGATAGAGGAGGGACGGGGGCCCCGTTCTATTAGGATATTTCTAGTTGCTCTAAGAGGGAAGGAAGTAGCCTACTTGTAGTTGATTGCTAATCCTGAAGTCTTTGTTCTTTCTTTCTGCATTGTGTGGGTTTAGAGAGTAAGATTTCCACTTTTGTACTCCGACGACAAGCCTTATGCGTAGGTCAACTCGCCTAATCTATTATCATCCCTTAGAGGAAAAAAAAAGAAAAAAAGAAAAGAAGAAGAAAAAAAAAAGGTTGAACTAGCTTTACTGTAGTTGCTGGCTTATTCCGGCCTCCTGGTACGTCATAATTGATGTACTAACACTCCATTGCAGTTTATATTATGCAATATGTGGATTTAGACTGTTTAATATGGGTTTTGTTATAGTCAAATTAGTTATATCTCACTGGAGTGTAGTATGATAATTAGTTACATCTAACATTATTTTACAAATAAAATGACTTGAAATTGTGTTTAGTGAATTGATCAAGATTTTGAGTTTTAATATTTAATTTTTTTTATTCTGGCGTTCTTTATTTTAGGATTTTACAATGTTAGTTTGAGGTTGATTATTTTTGGGGTTTAGAATTTGAAATCGAGTTTAGAATTTTTGGAGTACTAGGTCTTCAGGGTGGTTTGGTTTTAGGGTTTTAGAATGTTTTTCCAAATAGAAAATGAGAACTGTGGAGCCAAAAATAATCACAAGGTGACACGTGAATTTTTGGGTAACGATAACAAATTTACCCTCGAGGCACACCGAGTCTTCTACACGCGAGCAGTAGATAATCATCCATCAATCAAATCAGGAGTACCCAAAATAGGTAATAATTCAAAACCTATTTCATTCTTTACCTCATTTTTTCCTTATTCAATTAGCCATTTATTTAAAACATTCCATAACCTTCAAAAACATTCCATAACATCCCTTTTTATTATGATTAATCAGCCAATTAATATATTTATACCTAATCAATATATTAAAGGCTAATTACATCACGAAATTAAGCCCAAAAATTACCCTAAGGGCCGGTCATCCCTTCTCCAAAGGGAGCTGGCCATTTCCTTCATTATTCCACCATAATTTTCCTTTTTTGTGACATTGATTAGCCAATTATACAAAAACTCACAAAAACATTTCTTTAATTAGTCAATTAATATATTTATTTCTAATTAATATATTAATGGACTAATTCCACAAATGGCACCCAAATTTGATCCAAAGGCCGGCCACCTTTTCTCCAAAGGGGACCGGCCATATCCTATATATACCACCCATTTTTCTCACAAAAGATGATTCCAATCCTCTTGCAAAAAATCCTAAATACTATAAACATTCTTTCTCTCTAAAATTCTAACTTTGGCATCGGAGGTTCTTCGGCCAAAGCTCCCCCGATATTCATTGTGGGCGCGTGAGGCTTTTGGCCTTAACCTAAGGTGCTAGCTGTTTTGTAGGTGCAAAATCGTCCAAGATCGAAGAGGAGAAAATTTGCATCCACAAATTGGTGCTTTCATTGAGAGTTGAAATTCACACTCGTAGAAGACTCTTGCATAAAAAGGTTTTTCTCTATTTCCTAGTCCACTTGTATTTTTCGTACGTTCTTATTATTAGAATTTTTTATTTGCAAAGATTCTTTGATAAAACGAAAAAGAGAAATACAATGGCTAGAAATTTAAAGAATTCCACAAGTGAAAATTCCAATATTCAAGAAATGGGACTGCGGCATGTGATCTTAGGGGGAACGCACCACCACCATAAGGCTCTACCATGGCAACCACCGCGGTGGCCACCACGGCAATCACCCACAGCCAGGTCCATGACTCCACCACCACGGCCCGAGACATGTCACTCCATGCCTAACGCGAGCCCTATGTGTTGCCAAGTTGAGCTCAAGCCTCGCATTCGCAAGCATCACACGCCGAGCAGTCTGCTTCACAGCCTTGCCTTCTTCCGCAGCCTTGTCTGCCATGGTTTCCCAAGCAGCTCAAGTTGGCCCGAGAATATCTCAACTATTCGAAGCAACCATCGAGCCAGGGGCATTTTCATCGTACTTCTCCACGGATTTGACATTTCCTAATTCAAATCTTGCACCCGGAGTCTACCACACTTCCACTGCTCAATGAGGTATATTTCTTCCAAGCTCTTTCAATCCAAATGGCGAACAACACTTGACTCAACAAGTCATAGAGTTGACGAGCGCCCTTTCACAATAGACGACCATGGTGAATCAACTCTTGCAATGCATAGAGATCCAACGTGCCCTGGACGAGGTGTCTCGAAGTAGGACAAGGGCAGACAAACCTCTCCACCAGCGTCCTGGGAAACAGCCCCTTAACTAGCCACATTCCAAGCGTTCTGGCAGTTTACGCTCCCGCCTGGGTCCTTAAGATAACGTATACTCTCGTCTTAGTGCGCGGAGGAGCGTGCATTCCCAATCAAGCCCACGGACAAGCATACGTTCATGGTTGAAGTCACACTCCGATTATCAACATGGACAACCTTCCAAGCAAAATGTTCATTCATAACTAGGCTCGCAATGAGCATTAACTAGGATCGTAAGGAGCATTCTCCACTTCACATCGGAGTAGGCAGCATGGTAGATGGAGAAAACCAGTCACTCAATCCGACTCAAGTTCAATCGACAGCCTGTGAACGACCTGTTCGCCTGCAAGATACATGCCACATGCACCGCAGCTGCAACATGGACGAGTCGAGCATAGGGAAGAGCGGCCTAGACCCATAGATCACGATTAGATGCAGCCGAAAGTTCCATTGCCCCAGCAGAGGCAAATTCAAAAAAAAGTTGAGAGACTCATAACCGAACGATTGCACAATTTCCAACATAACGAGGCTACTGACAATGCGTTTCGACGAGACATGATCAACATAAGCATGTCACCATTCACGAATGAGATCGAGCGGACAGATCCATGTCGCGGGATCACTATGCCTCACTTCATTCCGTATAAGGGAGACGAAGATCCATATCGACATCTCAAGCACTATCGTAGTACCATGATCCTTTACAGGAACAACGATGCGCTTATGCGAAAAAATTTTACCACAACTCTACAAGGTGTAGCGCAAGACTGGTTTCACACTCTGCCACCGCAGTCGATCCGGAGTTTTAACAAAATGTCCTTTGTTTTCACAAAGGAGTATTTGTCTAACCGCTCAATCAAAAAGACATCCAACCATCTCTTCAGCATCGTAAAAGACCCTTGGGAGACAATTCACGACTATGTCAAGAGATTTAAAGCGGAGAAGGCCAAGATTGTTGGTTGCAACGAAGACATAGCAACGGCAGAATTCAGAAATAGACTTCCCATTGAACATCCTTTATTCAGAAAACTGATCATGGAAGAAGAACTAACCCTAGCAGCTTCGTATGCTTTGGGAGAAAAACATGCACTATGGGATGAGGCCAAGCAGTCTAACAAAAACGAGTCAGAAAAGAAGCACATGGAACGTTCCCCAACTAGAGAAGACTCAGCGCCTGAAACATTCACCAAATTCACAATTCCAATCGGCCAAATTCTCTGCAAGCTCAAGAACGAACCTTGGTTCGAACTGTCGCCACCCATGAAAGGCGATCTTACTAGGCTAGATCATATAAAGTATTGCACATTTCATCAACGACCAGGCCACACTACCAACGGCTGCCTGAAGTGGAAGCAGTATCTTGAAAAGCTGACAAATGAGGGCCAATGCGACGAGTATCTTGACAAGCCAACGAAACAGGCCGAATATTATCTAGTTTGTTATACAGTTTCTGCCTTCCAGAACAGTTGATTTATTTCTTTATTCTCAATGAAGATTCAAGAAGTTATTCACAAGTATGGCTCAACTAATGTCCATAACCACTGCTAAAAACCCAAAAGGGTCTGCTCTCCAATGCGAGAGGATAAGCTAATTACTCTCCAGTGCGAGAGGGTAAACCAATTCCCCGACACCCAAAAGGGTCTACTCTCCAGTGCTTGAGGATAAACTAATTGCTCTCCAGTGCAAAAGGGTAAACTAATTCCCCGACACCCAAAATGGTCTACTCTCCAGTGCAATATGATAAACTAATTGCTCTTCAGTGCGAAAGGGTAAACTAATTGCTCTCCAGTGTGAGAAGGTAAACTAATTGCACTTCAGTGCGAGAGGGTAAACCAATTCCCCGACACCCATATGGGTTTGCTCTACAGTGCGAGAGGGTAAACTAATTGCTCTCCAGCGCGAGAGGGTAAACTAATTGCTCTCCAGCGCGAGAGGGTAAACTAATTGCTCTCCAGTGCTATAGGGTAAAGTAATTCCCTGACACTCATCTGGGTAAACTCTCCAGTGCGAGAAGGCCACATAGATTAAAAGATCGAATGCTTGAAGATCAACTAGGCAGCAAATGGTCTGGTGGCAGCAACCACTTCTGCACTTAACAGTTCGCTCATTCGACACTTCATCTACAGCAGCTCCAATCCTGGCAGCTCTATCCTTCACTGCTCCATCTACGACTGTTGAGAAATCAAACTCAAGCAGTTTCTTCATTTTTTGCAAGCAGCTCAGACATGGCAGCCCTAACCCTTTGCCCATGCCACACCACTTCCTCGACCCATGCCGAGCTAATCCTTGGCTTCAATTAAGTCGAGCAGCACAAGCAATGGCCCCTACTACACCACCTTCTTGGCTCATGACAAGTCGACTCATGGTCCCTGCCAGCCGACGTGCCGCACCATCCCAACGGTTGCCCCGTGGCAGCACCTCCCAAGAAGAAGACAAGGAGAATTAAGTTTTCCTTACATCGGTGCGGCGCGGAGAAGAAGAAAAAAGCAACGAAAGACGGTCATTTGCACGGGCAAGTGTAGAAGATTGCTAGGGGAAGGGGAACAAATATCCTTTAAGCTTTCTCTCTCTTGTAGGGTAGAATAAATCACTCTCCAAAGTTGATTTAATAACCCACTTAAGGTGGACTTAAATAGGCTTTGAGAGAAATTTATTTCCCTTTCCTAGAAGGATCTAATTTCATATTAAAGAGGGAATCTACATCAAAACAGGAAGCAGTCCTAAGTTTCCTAAAGCAAGAAGATCTCTACACCTACTGCCCTTTCCTACGAGCAGCCCAGTAGGTGTGTGGGCATTTGTGGAGCCAAAAATAATCACAAGGCGACACGTGGATTTTTTGGTGAAGATGACAAATTTACCCTCAAGGCACACTGGGTCTCCTACACGCAAGCAGTGGAAAATCATCCATCAACCAAATCAGGAGTACCCAAAATAGGTAACAATTCAAAACTTATTTCATTCCATATATTTTTTACCTCATTTTTTCCTTATTCAATTAGCCATTTATTTCAAACATTCCATAACCTTCAAAAACATTCCATAACATCCCTTTTTATTATGATTAATCAGCCAATGAATATATTTATACCTAATCAATATATTAAAGGCTAATTACATCACCAAATTAAGCCCAAAAATTACCCTAAAGGCCGGTTACCCCTTCTCCAAAGGGAGCCGGCCATTTCCTTCTTTTTTCCACCATAATTTTCCTTTTTTGTGACATTGATTAGCCAATTATACAAAAACTCCCAAAAACATTTCTTTAATTAGTCAATTAATATATTTATTTCTAATTAATATATTAATGGACTAATTAAATCCACAAATGGCACCCAAATTTGATCCAAAGGCCGGCCAACTTTTCTCCAAAGGGGACCGGCTATATCCTATATATACCACCTATTTTTCTCACAAAAGATGATTCCAATCCTCTTGCAAAAAATCCTAAATACTCTAAACATTATTTCTATCTAAAATTCTAACTTTGGTATCGGAGGTTCTTCGGCTAAAGCCCCCCCCCCCAAATATTCATCGTGGGCGCGTGAGGCTTTTGGCCTTAACCTAAGGTGCTAGTTGTTTTGTAGGTGCAAAATCGTCCAAGATCGAGGAGGAGAAAATTTGCATCCACAAGAACCAAAAAAAAAAAAAAAAAAAGTAAAAACGAGTCATCAACCAATAATCATACTAAAACAGTGCACTGTCCGAATCTATTAAACTGCAAAATAAAAAATCCAATGTAGTGTCTCAATTTAGGTTGACCTATTTTAAATTATCTAAAAATGTGAGAAACTGGCTCCCAATTGTACATGTAATGATGCTAATATGCAATTTTTGTTAGTCTACTTAAAAATTCAGATTGACCTCTTATTTATGAGGCTTTTTGGGATAAAATTCACATCTATCAAATTGCAAATTGTGAATAATATCAGTGCGTGGGGCATTGGTCGCCACTCTTTAATATTGATACATCTAAGAATATTTGAAATTATATGATATATTCTGATGTATGAGCACCAATGGAGAAGCGCCGCATGACATTTTAGAATACGGATAACTTTTTATTTTTTTGGTGTGTTTGATATGTTTACCAACTCCGCCTATGTCTTACATGGCCGGTCCCAAGCCCGGATAAAGGAGGAGGGGGAGGGCGTCAGGTAGTCGACAGCCGGCACTCCATGATCACGTCGAATCCTTATGAAAATGAATCCAGAACAAAATCGCGCTAAAGCTAGGGCGTCACCCGTAAGTGGCGCGCTGTGTGGCCCGAGCACAGTGATAAGTGAGCAAGGGTCGCTGTATCTCCATCGGCACCCGGATGCAGTGTTAAATGAGCAAGGGGGCCATAGAAACTTCTTTTCGAACGACTCCACTCAAAGTTGTTTGGGAGCATATGCTCCTATCAACTTTACCCGGGACACACAAAAGAAGTACTTTGATCCTATTAGACGGGGGAGGGTGAAGAAGCTAGGACAGAAGGGTAGAGTTCAAGAGAGCAAAATGCGTTTAGGAACGTGGAATATAGGAACCTTAACGGGAAAATCTATGGAAGTAGTGGAAGTTATGGTGAGGAGAAGGATAAATATTATGTGCCTACAAGAAACTAAGTGGGTTGGTCTAGTAAGGCAAAGGATCTAGAAAACTCAGGGTTTAAACTTTGGTATTCGGGCACAAATAGAACGAGAAACGGTGTTGGCATCATCGTGGATAAGACCTTGGTACAAGATGTTGTAGATGTCAAGAGGGTAGGAGATAGAATCATGGCAATCAAGATTGTAATAGGACAAGAACTTATCAATGTGATTAGTGCGTACGCACCTCAAGTAGGGTTGGATACGAGTTCGAAGGAGAAATTTTGGGAAGATCTTGGAGACTTGGTGCAAGGAATTGCTCAGACGGAGAAGTTATTTATAGGAGGAGATTTAAATGGACACGTGGGCAGGGAGACAGGCAACTATGGAGGTTTTCATGGTGGCCATGGTTTTGGGGAGAGAAACGAGGATGGGGAAGCTATCTTGGATTTTGCAATGGCATATGATCTCTTCTTAGCCAACACCTTCTTTAAGAAGAGAGAAGAACATGTGATCACCTACAAGAGTGGGTCGTCAAAAACACAAATAGATTTTCTTCTAATGAGGAAAGGGGATCGTATAACTTGTAAGGATTGCAAAGTTATACCAGGAGAGAGCGTGGCTAATCAACATCGCTTGTTGGTGATGGATGTACATATCAAAAGAGTAAGAACAAAAGAACAAGACTTGGAAGTGCCCAAGGACTAGATGGTGGAATCTAAAAAAGAAAAACAAGCCATTTTCAAAGAGAAAGGTAATCACCCAATGTGTGTGGGATAGAGAGGGGGAAGCTAGCCAAATGTGGGATTCCATGGCTAGTTGTATCCGAAAAGTAGCAAAAAGAGGTATTAGGAGAGTCCAAGGGCTTTGCCCCACACCAAAAGGAATCTTGGTGGTGGAATGAGGAGGTACAAACAAAGGTGAAGGCTAAGAAGGAATGTTGTAAAGCCTTATACAAGGAGAGGACCGATGAAAATGGTGAAAAGGTATAGAAAAGCGAAGCAAGAGGCGAAGAAAGCTGTCAGAGAAGCTAAGTTAGCGGCTTACGACGATATGTATAAACGACTAGATACCAAAGAAGGAGAGTTGGATATCTATAAACTATCTAGAGCAAGGGAAAAGAAGACAAGGGACCTAAACCAAGTGAGGTGCATCAAGGATGAGGATGGAAAGGTTCTTGCTACAGAGAACGCGGTTAAAAGACAGATGGAGAGGTTATTTTCATAATCTTTTCAATGAAGGACATGAAATGGAGTGCTTCTTTAGGGGAGTTGAGTAACTCAGAAGAGTGTAGAAACTACTCTTTTTATCGTCGAATCCGGAAGGAAGAAGTGGTTGTAGCTTTGAAGAAGATGAAGCATAAAAAGCAATAGGCCCAGACGATATACCAATCGAAGTGTGGAAACTTTTGGGAGAGACAGGTATACATGGCTCACTGACCTTTTCAATAGGATTTTGAAAAACGAAGAAGATGCCAAATGAGTGGCGAACGAGCACTTTGGTGCCTATCTACAAGAATAAGGGCGACGTACAAAATTGCATGAACTATAGGGGTATTAAGCTAATGAGTCATACAATGAAGCTCTGGGAGAGAGTCATTGAGCATAGATTGAGGCAAGAGACACGGGTTTCGGACAAACCAATTCGGGTTCATGCCAGGGCGCTCAACCATGGAGGCAATCTATCTCTTACGAAGATTGATGGAAAGATATAGAGATGGGAAAAAGGATTTACACATGGTCTTTATAGATTTGGAAAAAGCGTATGATAGGGTCCCAAGAGACATTCTTTGGAGGATTTTAGAGAAGAGAAAGGAGTACGAGTAGCATATATCCAAGCTATAAAGGATATGTATGAAGGAGCAAAGACTGCCGTAAGAACTCATGAAGGACAAACCGAAAG